AAGGGATATACTCCGAACTGGTCCAGTGAACTGTTTAAAATTGCAAAAGTCCAAATAACCAATCCCGTGACGTACTTGTTGGAAGACATGAAAGGAAAACCGATACTGGGAGGATTTTATGAGCAGGAACTGCAAAAAGCTAAGTATTCCGATATCTATTTGGTGGAGAAGGTGCTGCGACGTAAGAAAGATAAAGTGTACGTCAAGTGGTGGGGACTGGACGAAAAATCTTGGATAGAAAATGATAATATCGTATTGTAATTTTCGCTGTAAATTAATAAATAAAGAAAACAAAAGCTTTTTTGTACTTTTTTTATTTTGCTTTCCTATTACCATACAACATATTTTTCTTTTTTTTAAGTAAAGCTATCGTTATTGATAATTTTTTCAAGCATATCGTACGTTTTCTTATAATCACTCAGCAACGTTGAGGGCCATACAGTGCTATCTGGACCACACCTCCAACCAAGCAGAGCGTTATGATCTTGTGTGCCTCTCCTAATGTTCTCCAATAGCCACTCGTAGATTTTGCGATGGTAGTTATTTTGACGTGGATTAAAATCTATTTTAACGTGCGCCTCCTGGCAAACATCAATCAATATTTGCAGCGCATTGAAGTTGGCATACTCCGCAGCTGTACATATGGCTTCGTTAATAACTTGCGAACTATCCTTATAAATACTACTAATTACATTATCTACACTGTTTCCTCTTAAATTTACTATAAACATTTCAAAATGCATTGATACACTAGGAGTATGAACATCAGCAAAACGATCACCGTTTACTCGTGAATAATGATTCATTAGATAGTCAAGTTCGATCTTTTTGTGAAATAGTAATTTAACCATTTCTTTACACACATTTTTCGCTATAGCACACCATCTAAAACACTCATCTGGAATAACAATATTCTGTAAAATATTGTTAATGAGAAAGTAGGTGTCGATAGAAAAGGATGATGTGTTTAAAACGACACTCTTCAAATGTGCAAAGTATATTGAGCTTGACGCAAAAAGGATTTCTTGTTCCAATCCTCGATCGCCGCCACCAGTGCTTGCCATCTTTATAGGGTAAAAACACACACCTACAAAAAGGAAAGGATAGACACCAAAATTGATTAAATAAGAGGTTGTGGAACACACTGTTAAGTAGAAAAGTTATAGCCCCAAGGGAGGGTGTTAATACAATCTAAACTAATTTGTCGTTTATCATCATACGGACTTAAAACCACCTTATTCTGTTTGATCGTGAATACTAAATGTTTTCGGGATTTTATTAAATATTGAGGCCGTGTTACTACCGCATTGTTAAATATGCTGTTTTTATAGTCCTCCAAAGTTATTTCCCGGATACTGGCATAAGTTGAACCTTTGGACCTCTTGAATACCTTACCGTCCACGAGATAAGAGTACATTTTCGCTCTAAGCCCTACAAACTCTAGCATTATTTTTCCATTGTTCTCGTCCTTCATCAGCCCGGGGACTTTTTTATTAACCAGGGGTATGTCAAAAACGTTATTATGATTATAATTCGACGTATCAAACTTATCGATGTTTTCTCTTATGGATTCGTAAATGTCTGGAACTGAAAATGAGTAGATCAAACTATCGGTGTCGGTATATAATAGTTTTGCGCGATCCTTGAACTCTTTTAAAACGAAATTGTAATGAAAATCATAAAGAATAGTTTTTGATACATCTAATACGGTTAAGCCTGCATAAATGGGTTTGTTGAGCAGTACTTCCAAACGATTCATTTCTATGATTGCTAGATCTTCATTGTCATCGAAAAGCATACAGCTTTTAAAGTTTGGTTTGGATATATAAGCACCGGCGCCGTACCTACCGCCCCACTTGTTTACCAAATGCACATCTTTATATTTCCTTACGTTCTCCATCAATTTACCAAATACACAATTTACCATTAGTTTATAAAAATTGATATCGAATTCATTCGTAGATTCTTGTCGCTTTTGCGTATTTAAATCGATATACTTTTTTAACCAAGGCGATTGTCGAAATCTTAATACGCGATTAATTTTATCGAGTCGTAATCCGTGCTTTATGTACTGCTTTAAATTTCTGTAATGTAAAACGTAGTTCTGTTTTGAATACAATGTCAGAAGTAATTTCTTAAATTTACCATTGGGGGGAGTTCGGTGTTCGGGCGCAAGTGGAAGATCTTTATGAAAGGAGTGGATATTCGTGGGATAATTTAGATCACAATCTAAAATGTAGCCGATTTCTGCGTTATCGGGGTGGTTCAATATATCTAACGTTTCAAATGAATCCTCATCTACAAAGGAAAACTCTCCGTACGGCAAAAATTCGCACATTGTGGCGCCATATAGAGAATTTACATCAAAATACATTAAGTAGGTCGATTCAAGTTCGGGGCGGTAACCTTCCTTCATATACTTATTATTAGCCTTCGCGTATCTCGTAGAACATTGCGTTATACCACCGCGAATTCCTCTTTCGATGAACATTACTTGATCTATGTCAGTTAAAAGCTCTAATTGAACGTCGGTAATTTTCAACATCGCGTCGAATGCAAGACCAGGGGCGCTAAAGTAGTGAAGAGGGTCCAATTTATAAGTCTGTAGACATGTATTGCGAAAATTTTCAAAAATATCCGCCAAAAGCAACACGTCAGTTTTCAAATACAAATCTGAAAATTGTCCGAGAGTCTCTATGGAAAACGAGTTCCATATATTTAAAGCATGAGTGTAATCATCTTCGCTAATTTCTTCACCGCGCAATGAACTGAAGAAGTTATTTTTAGGAGGTAAACAGCGCTCATTTAACTTTTCAAAGCAATCGACGTATTCATATGGGAATACACCTTTCCGTGTAAGTAACTCGAATTCGGATTCACCGCCGACATACTCCGAGCGCGTTATATTTTTTTTGTCCTTACTTAAATAGGACGCAAGCTTATCAATGCTACTACTCATAAAGCGAAAGGAATCTATAAATCTAAAAATAATCTTCGTATCTTGCACGTGTTTCGAAAAGGAGATATACTTCTCTTTGTTTAAAGGTAAAACTTTTATTTGGCCAGGTATAGCGGTTGCAAGTTCGCGGATAATGAAATGGGCATCGTACCCACTGAGATTATGAAAGACCACAGGGATCGCGTGACTGTTTTGGTAGTTTACATTACAGGACTGGTGCGAAGCAGAGCGATACCGCGAAGTGAAATGGCAATGATCCCTACAACGAATTTCATTTTCCAAAAAAGGTTTCTCACAAATATGACAATGGGTGGCGTTTTTGAAATCTTCCTCTTGAGCTTCACTCAATGTTTCCATCGGTAGGGGATTGTTAATAATTGCATTAGCCCAGAGCGCGATGTTGTGTAGATTGTTTATAAACCACGATACACAATCCGCGCCTCTGTATAACGAGAATCGCGATAATGAATTGTCATATGCACATTTGAGATAAAAAGCTATGCTGTAAGGTACGTGCTTTTGAAATAGTTTTGTGTTTTCCCCACTACCGCAAACGGTATCACAATTCTCCAGAAGGCATTCAATATCTGCGTAAATCGCGAACGGAACTTTTTCCTTATTAGAATAATGAGAGAATTTCAAAATTTTCTCCGATTCGGAAGGTACTCTTACCGCACATTTATTTATGTCATGACAACGAACCGTGTGCTTTTCCAGTAGGCGATTCGATGAAAAATGATTTAAACAAATATTACACAAAAACTTTGCGTGTCCCCTATTGGATAATTGTGACGATAATAAACGGGATAAATTTTTAATCCACGCAAAGTGAAAGTAATTAGTATTTTTTGGGCAAATACGATTTTTTGGAGCCTTATTGTTATTAGAAGATAATACCAATAAATTGATTGCGTTTGCCCGCGCTTCACGATTTTCACTCAACAAGAAAGGAAGGACTTTTCTCTTTTCTAAGCAATACAAATTAATGGCAAGATTATTCAATCTTTCGAATTTTTTTATATCGTTTAGTTGAATGGGAAACGTAATGGGACCACTATTCAAAACGGTATCGAAATGAGGATAACTAGAAGGTCTATCGGGATTACGTTGCGCTGGATAAAGAGCAGAGACTATTGACCACAAAAAACAATACTTGTCGTTATTTTTAACATTAATAATGGCTTTCTTACGCGCTATAAAGGGAGGAAGTCTTACGTACGTGCTAAAGCTTCCCACTCGAATGGGAACGTATTTATTTACGTTTATTTTTAAATATAAAACCTCAATTAAACTCCAGTTTGATAACTCTTCCTGAAACAAATCTAACTTTGATCTCAATCTGTCAATGACCTGAGTCTGATACCACTCTTTTAGATTACTACCTGCATCGAGAACGTTATTTCTTGTGGCAAACGTTTTTAGATCCACATTAAGATTTTGAGGATGTAAAAAATCACAGGCCAGCACTACGTTTACCTTAAGCATAGATTTTCTTAGCATCGGTTTAATTTTTCGGGCAAGCTTGTCAAATGCCTTATCCAAGAAAATAAAAGGATCTTTGTAGACCGTATTCACAATAATACCAGTAAGCATTCTACCTTGAAAGCAAGAATTTAAAGTCTGCCAAATTAGAGGGTGTGAAGAGGGGGCGGCGGCAGGTATTCCACAACCTCTTTTAAGCGAATTATCTTTTAATTGTTGCCGTAATTTGGCCAAATAAAATTTCAACGTTCCAAGATTAGATTCTAATCTAATAGGATTTTCAACGTGACTATTCAAATGGATGTTATTATTAATAGCATTTTGTAACAAAGAAATATTTTCCCTTATTATCCTTATATGCCTCAAAATTTCGGGCTTATGTTTTAATAATGCAATAGCTTTTCGTGTTAGCGTAACTATTTCACTACTAAGATTCGCAACGGACGTCGGTTCCATTTAAAAAAAAAATTTTTTTTTATTTATTTTTTTTTTTACTTACAGTTGGAGTTTAAAAAGGTTTGTTATAATAGCAGGAATCCTCGTTCGCTGCCACCAGGTGCTTGCCGTCTTCACTGAAATTGTATATCTAAAAATCTCTTTCTCTCTAGAAATATATGCAAACAGTAGTAGTATCAGTGTTATCCTTGAACATTCACAGACACCTCGCACACAATCGACACTTTTTGTGCTGATGAGGTGTTGCACTCGCACCACTATACTCACCGCGGGGGGTTTGAAGATGCAAATAATCTCTACACTTGTCACCTTATATAGGCTAGGTGTTCAGGGTCAAATACGCGCAGCTGCACCTTAAACAAAGCGGGGAAGTTCATCCCGGAATCATACGATCTATCGTTCTCACTCATTAACTCAACCTCTCTCCAGTTTTCCGCAAACGATTACAACAATTTTACAATATATACTGAAAATTTTTCCCCACTAATTATCAGTTAGCATCGAGCTCGGTATAACGTCATGTCTTCTTCACTTACAAGAAAGATGAAAAAGCCGAAAATCAACAAAGTGAATATTCTTTCGTCAATGTTAATTAAACCGCAAGCCTGCACCACCAATAAGGCGGAAAAAAAAACAACCAAGCCATCAACTTCATTGGTGCAACAACCGCCAACCAACATCAATAACAACAACTGGCAAAGTTGCGCATTAACTCAAATGGAACCATTGGATGAAGTAATTACAATACATTCGGATAATTCGACAATCACGTAAGTAATATTTATGATTTTTTTAAATTATTTTCTCCCCTCTATTTCGTTATGTTAAAAAGTAATTGCTTTTTACAGCACGGGTCATTTGGGCGAGAATTTGGAACTGGACCTACTGTTAGCGCAGCTGGAAGGGGACCCCGCAACAAACTATTTATTCGAGCCAGCTCGGTAAGTAAAAAATGTTGTTTTTCTCTTCTACTCGCTAATAATAAAATTCTCTAATTTCAGAATAATACCGACACCGCAATTAACGGAACCCCAGCGGTCGCCGACACCACCACCACCACAGCTGCCGCTAACAACACGGGTACCGCCGCCACCACCAAAGCTGTCGCTACCACCATCAATTTTGCTGTCTCCTCCTCCGCCACCTCCTCCTCCGGCGGAACCTGTTGTGCCATCGGGCCAAAAACGACCGTAAGTTTATATCATAATACTTATAGAACTCCTTCGTAATAGATTATTTTTTATTTATTGCAGTCGCTGTCATGACAACGCATCGCGCTCCCCTAGCGACAAGAAAAGAAAGGGCAAGAATTTGGCAGACGTCGTCGTAATGGTCGAATCCGACCTGGAGGAGGGGTACTTCCCGGAAACACCGACGCAGCAAGATGGGTCGCTGCATCCTAAAACACCGAGGGAACTAGCCCTTACTACATACGGCACATTAAAAAATATGGAGCCGGTGTACCGGGCTAAGCTCTTGGATGCAAGGAACAAGACGACCGAACTACAACGGCAGCTGGAAACGGCGAAGAAGGAAGAGCGGCGGCTGGAGAAAGAAGTCGCCTATATAGAGGACTTCCTCAAATTTGTTAAACCTAAAAAATAAGTTTATAGTTTGTAGTTTTGTACATTTTTTTATACTTTACTTTACTTATTCAATAAAAGGCAAATAGTCAACAACATGGAGTCTTTTTTTATCGAGCAAAACTGATTGACGCTCGGACCAACACCACCGAGTTAAGAAAAAAACTAGATGCTTCATCCAAAGAAGAAAGGCGGTTGGAGAAAAGAACTCCAATTTATTGAAGAATTCATGAAATTTGTAAAGAAAAGTAATTGTCAAAAATTTATCAATTTTTTAACAAATAAAAAACTTATCTGTTTTTGTTGATGTGATTCAAGGTGAAGGTGTAAGAGTTTAAGACAAACGACTTTAGCCGGTTGCGTTGAAAAACGATCAAATTAAGAAAACTTTGCAGCCGTCAAAAGAAATGCACGAATGCACGCCTTTTCAAAAGCTATACCTATTACAGTAGAGCATACCAAGCTGCATATAAATAAGGAAGGAAGGTTAACTGAAACTGTGTGTGAGAAAAAACATAAGCATTTCCAATGCTAAAACCGAACGCAGTTACCAAGTCTAATGAAAATCAATCCATCATCCATCTTACGGTAATGCGTACTAAAATGCATATAAGGAACATGGGAGAGGTGCTCGTATGAACAAAACACAATACGATCAAAGTGAAGTTTTTTTATTTCTTTTTTACGATATGCCAACAATAATACAAATTAAGTACACATACACATATACGAGCATTTGCGTGAGCGAGAAAATTTCATTGCATATTTTTCTTTGTATGCAGTCGTACTCTACTTAATTTGCGCTGCACTTCAAACACCTCCAGCTCCCACTTGAATTTTTTAATTCTCCTTAACAAATCGTCTATACGTATTTTTCTGCGATGGCGGTCTTCGGGATCTTCTGCAATCATCATTACTTTTGTCATTTTTTCTCTGATGTCAGTATAGAAATGACTTGTACAACGTTCACTCGTGTCCTTTATACTTGACTTTAGTGAAGAAATGAACCCACAAATTAGCAAAACTCAGAACCATGTTGCCATGACCCCGAAATCGATAATCAATCAATAACACAGAAAGAGCATGGGGTGATAAACCGAATTACTTTAGCTCGGACCCAAACTTCCGATACTTTATCTCGAGCACAAACCTCGACCCCCTTGACGTTAGCACAGGCGCAACCCCCGCTACCACAGTTCAGAACCACTCAATTCTAGTGACTTTTCTAGGGGGATTTTTCATCTAGTGAGATTTAGAATCGGCCGTACACTACCATCGACAACACAACCCTCAGGCACAAACCGACTTACTTTAGCTCTGACTTTGAGAACGCGTTAGCTTAGACCCACTTTAGTTCAGGACACAACCCGCGTTCAACTCTTAGCTCGGACACAAACCTCCGATATTTTAGCTCAGACGCAAACCTCGATTCCTTGACCTTAGCACTGACGCAAACCTCGCCAGCAGAGTTACAAACCTAGTTACTTTTCTAGTGACTTTTTGATTTAGAATCGACCCCTATATCACTAGCAGAGTTTCAAACCTCTCTAGTGACGCAGAGTTTCAAACCTTGTTACTTTTCTAGTGACTGTTAGCAGAGTTTCAAACCTCTCGTGACCTTCTAGTGACTTTGAGCAGAGTTTCAAACCTAGTTACTTTTCTAGTGACTTTTTTCACATCTAGTGACTTTTCTAGTGACTTTTTGAGTTAGAATCGGCCTTATATCACTACTTCCTTGCGTTACGAAGATAGGTAGTGATATTGTAGACGGTGGTACCTTCGATGATAAGAACGGACCTAAAAAACTCAAACAAAAAATGAATTAACATGGAATGGTTTACCTTACAAAAATCAAAATCTGTATCAGTTTAAATTCACAACGAAGGTTAAAACAAACGTAAATAAAATGAGATAAAGCATTTGGTGTATGAAAATGCGATAAAAAATTAAAAAAAAGTATCGAAAACGGTTCGTTAGTAATGTATTTTTCATATCTTGAGAATCGCACCAATGCGTTTCGACAATTAGCAAGCAAACACATAGTAGTCGGTCGATGCCTGTCGTATATTGTGTTCGACTGTGTCAAAATAGTTTATCGGCACATGCAGTGCGTGCTCGCTGCATTTACAGACACCGACGTAGTGGCAGTCAGTTGACAATGGTGCTGCTATTGCTAGAATTTGTCGGCATAAGTGGTTTAGACTCTAAGCCGAGATATTATTAGATACACCAAAAATGAACCGTTGAGAAGTAAAAAAAAAGATGGTAAATTAGTTTTCGCATTAACATATGTAATGAAAAATAAAATTGATACAAACAATTTGAAATTTTACGTAGTTTACGCAAACTATAAATATTAATCAAAATGTGATACGTTTTACCTTCAATTTTAAGAAATACTTGCGTACAAATAGCGTCGTAGTCTTGATTATTCTTCTCGTAGATGCAAGGTGGAATGTCGTATCTGAAAAAGAAACGAAAATTTTAGTTTAAATTTTCAGTTTTCTCATTAATTTATGCGACCGAAAGTTAAATTGTTATAAATATTTTGATATTTTACGCAATTACACAAATCGTAAGGTGCAATTTTACTTTCGTAATAATACTTGCGAACGAAAGTATGATATCGTAGTCGTACAATGTCGATCAATTTCCTCTGTGGCACGAGATGTACTCATCGATCTGGACTGAAAATTAAAAAAAAGTTTAAATACTTCACAACACACTGTTTTTGTACTTACCAAATTTTTAAGTTTTGTTTACTGTAACTGTGAAAAAAAACTGTAAAGGAAAAAAAACAAATTAAAGTTTTAGCTCCGATTTGAATCGAAACTCATCTCGTAATGGCTCAAACACTTGTGGCTTAAAAACTCTTAGTTGTTCTGCGCGTGTTTGTATAGTCGGACAATGTGTGCAGGGGGACGTACGGGACCGTTAATTCAGTCGTCGTTAAACTATTGCTAGGTGCCCGTGTACGCGTTTGACAATTAGCAGGCAAGCACAGACTGGTCGGTTGATGCGCATCGTATATTGTGTTCGACTTTGTCAAGAACACCGACGGAGCGGCAGTCGGTTGACAGTAGTGTTGCAATTGCTAGTGTATGTCACGCGATCGTTTATATCGTCGACGATAAGCCCCCTCCTCTCCACGGCCCGTGAAGTGTTTCATGAGCTTACGAGGGTTTTGTGCATGTGACGCGCATTTACCCGAAGGTAAATTGTGGTACATTTTCGTCAGGGCGAGTCGAAGAATCTGCCTCGCCGAGATATCGGTGAAAATGTCTTGCGAACGTCGACGATGCGCACGAGCCTGAAATCAGTCTCAAAGTTAATTGCAAGTCAAAATTGAACGTGAATCGAAGAACAAACGACTTTCGGCATTAATAATCCCCTTTCGGAGGTGCAAAAATACCGTTCGTCGAAGTTCGGCGTTCGACTCGCAGTACTGTTCGAGAGAGAGGCGAGTCCAGGTCTTAAGGATGTCCGTGCGCATTGATGGCGAATCGGAATTGTCGCGCGCGTAGTCGTAATTCGGCCGTTCGGCATTAACAATCCCCTTTCGGAGGTGCAAAAACGCCGTCTGACCTTTTCTGCGAAAGCGCGTTCGTTCAACTCGGCCGCTTAGCGATCGTCGACGTATCGGCAGTCTGAAATCAGTCTCAAAATTATGTAGCAAGTCAAAATTAAGTGCGTGTCGAAGAACGAAGACGTTTGGCATTAATAATCCCCTTTCGGAGGTGCAAAAATACCGTTCGTCGAAAGTTCGTTCGGTAGACGCGTGTTCGAACTCGCTGTGCGATTGAAGAGACGACTTCGGGAACGTCAATGTTGATGATGCACAAAAATTTGGACGAATCGAAAATTATCGCACGTTATGGGAACTCGACCGCTCGGCATTAATAATCCCCTTTCGGAGGTGCAAAAACACCGTTCGGCTCGCTTCGCGGCTCGTTCGGTTCGGCAGCGAAAATCTGAAACAGTCTCGAATATATTTGGCAAGTCAAAAAATTTATTTATTCTATTTTCTCGCACGAGTGACTTGCCGGGGCTTAGGAGAAAATATTTCTAGCGACGATGTTTTTGATCGTACAAGGTCCATTCTTGCCGCTGCGCGAAGCGCAGATTTTGATCGCGAGTTTGGTTCGCACCCTGCTCATCGCCACGTACAGCTGTCCGTGACTGAACAGTGGAGTTTTAAGCAAAATGCCGACTTTGGTGACGGTTTGACCTTGCGCCTTGTTGATCGTCATCGCGTACGCCAATTCGACGGGAAATTGCATTCGGCTGAAGTGCAGACCCGTACCGTCGGGACGACGGTCTTCGTAAGTGAACGGTAACATGGACAGCACGCAGGTTTTTCCGCGGTACGGTCCCACGGCTATTCTGCAGTGCAGCAAATTTTCGCCCATATCGGTTACGATCAGACGGGTGCCGTTCGACAGTCCCTGCTTCACGTCTATGTTTTTCAACAGTATCACCAAGCAGTTCGACTTGAGGACGAGACGGTGAGGAGGAAAACCCGAAGGATTCTCCTCGTTCAGGTAGACCACGTCGTGAACGGCGGCGTGTACGTCGAGTATCGGATTGTCTACCAGCGACTTGTCGGCGGAGAGGTACACTCTCTCTTCGCCGGACAAAACGTTCAAGATCTTGCGATTGAGCTCTCTGACGTCTACGCGTCTGGCGCTTAGAATGAGCCTGTCACCTCTTCGACGTTAGTTAGAGCGCTTTCGTGATCGTGTATATTTCCGAGAACGACTATTGGCAAGAGCTGTTGCCAATCTCCGCCTAGCAAGACTACCTTTCCGCCGAAAGCGAAGTTGGACAGTTGCTCGTCGGCGGTATGTTTGCACGCTTCGTTCACCATTCGGAAGAGGTTTCTGTGCAGCATGCTGATCTCGTCGATTATTAGCAGTTCCGCCTTTCGGATTCGGTACGCGACGATGCTGTTATAGGAGATGGGAGGAACGTAATCGGTGCACGTCACATCTCTCGGTAACTGGAAGGCGCTGTGAACCGTCGTTCCTCTTGGGAGTAATTGTGCCGCGACGCCCGTCGATGCCGTTACCAGCGCGTACCTTTTGTACTTGACGAAAATGTCGATCAACGTTCTGTACA